TGCCACAGATTCAACAGAAATCCAGTGATGGGTCTTCTATGAGAAGGAACTTTAAGAGCCCAAGGAACACAGACTTGGGAAAATGCCCAAAGAAAGGCGAACCTTCTTTTCGCCAAAGAATACCACCCTCCTGCCTACCCAGATAAGTATTTTTACTAATAGAACATTTCTACCTAGTTGTTAGTTACCTTCAAGTGGATTCCAACTTGTGGCGACTCATGATGACAGGGATTTCAAGGATATGCCCTTCCAGAAGCAGATTGACAGCCCTGTTTTCCAAGCTGTCTACAGGTAGAATGGAACTGCCAATCCTTTGGCTAGTAGTTAAGCACTTAATCATTTGCACCACCCACCTTATGTCTAAATTCTTGAAGATGAAGAAGCTCAGCTTTCCTGTAAAGGGCATTGCCAAGTCTAGCAACTCGACATTCCATGACATTTATCAGCACATGTATGTGATCTTTTAAACTTCAAGTCCCCACCATAAGGGATACACCAAAAATCCCAATACACTACACAGTACATTGCATATCGTTGTTGTTGTTGTTAAGTACCATAGAGTCGGTTCTGACTCACAGTGACCCTGCACAGGGTTTCCGAGGCTGTAAATCTTTACCGGAGCAGAACGCCTCATCTTTCTCCCACGGAACCGCTGGTAGTTTCAAACTGCTGACCTTGAGGTTGGCATCCCGACTTGTAACCACTACGTTACCAGAGCTCTTTACACTGCATATGCTGTTGTTAAGTGCCGTAGAGTCGGTTCCGACCCATAGAGACTCTGTGTAGGGCTTCCGAGGAGTGACTGGTGAGCTTGAAGTGACTGGTGAGCCTCTGGTTCAAACGACTTTGCAGTGTGGTGCATTAACTCTCAGCACCACACCATATATGCTGTGGTTGTTAAGTGCCGTTGAGTTGGTTCGACCCATGGCGACCCTGCATAGGGTTTCCAAGGAGCAACTGGTGAGCTTGAACTGCTGACCTTGCAGTTCAAACAGCTTTGCAGTCTGGCGCATTAACCCACAGCACTACACCAAGACTATATATATAGTAGGTATTAAAAATTTTTTGTGAGCTGCACTGAACCAAAAACTGTCACCAGTGAGTATTCACATCACTCACTGCTCTATCTTCTCCCATCCCTATGGCTTCCACTGCAGCTCTTTTGTTTTTGTTTTTAAAGATATTAACTCCTCAGTGCCCATGTTTAAACACCAAACTTGAAACAGGAAAATTAAGAACTGTCCTATCTGCCTTCTTTCTGTTACCTTTCTTCTGGTGGCACTGCCATCTGAAAGGCCACCATTATTTTAAGACAAGTAAAATTTACCATGTCATCTCACTTCAGCTACTCAATAACCTTGGGCCATACGTATTGATTCTCAATTTTATACAGGAAAAAACTGAGGCTCAGAAGAGTTATGCGTGTTAAGATTACACAAGGTTCTAAGTCCATGCCCTTTCATCCCAAATTTATGTCCTTTCATGTTTCCCAACATTTACGTACTCTAAGAGGTGTTATATTAAAAACTACAACCAAAAATATAAGCTAGACTACTAAAAGCACACAAAATGTACTGTGTTGTCGATTTGTCACTTGTCACCAACGATAAATTATTTTAGAGTACTCCTTCCTGACAAGACATTGTATTTCCCTCGAGGCTACAATATAATCTTTGCCCACAAGGAAGTGACAATCCAGTTGCAGCAACAAGCCATTTACTTAAGATTTTAATAAGAGGCAACAAAAGGCGTTGGGAAGGACAAGGATTTCAGGCACATTCATATATACATTTTAGTGCTTAGTAGCTGTGAGTTTGGGATAAGCAAGATACATAACTTTCCTCAAAATGTAAAGTTGTGGTCAAAATCTACCTTGCAAAAAGTTTGTACCTCTTAGGGTTCTCGAGCTTAAATGAGATAATTTACGAAAACAGGGTTAATCATTGTTCTCTTATGAGGTGTCAATAGCTACACACTAATGAATGGATGCATCATTAAGAGATGCACAAAGATCCAAGAATTTGATTTTAAAAATTCACAAAAACAAAAATCCCAACCTGTACACTTGAAAATTGACCTGTGAAACAGCTGAGTCATGAGCTAATTCGTCATTTAAACAGCAGTTGTTGTTGTTGTTGTCATGTGCCGTGGAGTCGGTTCTGACTCATAGCAACCCTATACAGGGATTCCAAGGCTGTAAATCTTTATGGGAGCAGAAAGCCTCATCTTTCTCCTGCAGAACAGCTGGTAGTTTCGAACTGCTGACCTTGCGGTTCGCAGCCCAATTCATAACCATTATGCTACCAGAGCTAATCAAATATGTACGTGATATACATTTGGGAGGGATAGCCATGTTTCATATAAAGCTGCCAAGTTGAAAGGAAATCACCATTAAAAGTCAAAGGAAATCACCATTAAAAGTCAAAGTGGATGGCAACTAAATGTAATGGGGTATCTTGGATTGGATCCTGCAACAGTAATCTGAATAAAATCTGTAGTTAATAGTAGTATACCAACATTAATTTCTTAGTTTTAACAAATTTTGCCAAGGTTATATAAGATGTTAACACTAGAGGAAACATCTTTGCAACTTTTATTTAAGACTAAAATTATTCCAAAATGAAAAGATGCCTTGCTTTTGTTTTTAAGTGAATGACAAGGAAAGGAATGGCAAATACACTCAACAACTCTTAATCCCTGATTTAGAATCTACTGGGGGCAGTTAGCCATTAACAAAGCACAGGCTGTGAAATTAGTCAAAATACATCAACGTGTAAGTTATTCTAAAGAGTAACTAAAGTGAGTACACTGAATTTAATAATTCTAACTTTGAAGAGGAGTGACATGTCCATTTTTCCTTAGCAAACACTGACTTTATGATAACCGGACTTTGTTAATATTACAAAACTAGTAAGTTTCCTACTGTTACCCCAGGCTTTCCATTCTTGAATAAGACATTTAATCAGCACATAAAAAGCATATCACCACATATAAGCTATAACATGAATTTGAAAGTCTAATGCTAGTGACATTTCTGAGCTCAGTACTAAAACTAGGCATCAGTGCCCCATCTGTTTCTTTAATAATGTAGGCAAGCAAATTGTCTTACTTTAATTATCAAGAATTTCCAAGGGGTTAGCAAAGTGATGTGAGACTTACTGAGGCATTTTTATTTCCAGGGTCAAATTACACAACTAACCAGTACTAACACAACTTTTTTTTTTTTTTAAGTCCATCTAAATTTATTGAGAGTCATGAATTGGTTGTGAACTTTTTTAGCAGTGTGTTCAGCAAGATGGCTGAAGCTTTCACACGCTGGGGTCTGCAAAGACAGGGTTGACTTGCATCACAGAAGGCAAACTGTATGCCACATATTGATGACAAGGGTTTAAGACAGCACCAACTGCAATAGGTACACCACATACACTCACACAATGGTACTCAGCTGAGGGGCAGCTCCTAACTCTTTTTTTAAATACATATATGGAATTTAGAGGGCAAATTTAAAAGAAACATCAATAATCTTTTCAGATTTCAAAGAAGAAAAAAAAATTCTACACGGCAATGCAGCAAAGTCATATCTCCTGCTGAAATGACCTCCAGCTTCTAAGGACTACTCCCGGTTTCGTAACAGATAAATCTGGAAGTCAAACCACGTAAACACAAACGGAGTAGAAACTGAGAACACTAAAGGTTCACCAAAGTCTGGCAAAACCCACTTGCCTCCCCGCTGCCCTGCCGGCTTCCTTTACCGTCGGCGCACACACAGGTACCTAACATCCATCAGAAAAAGAGAAGAGAGATTAAGCAGCAACCAAAAAGCCTGTTTTCTCATCATCCACACTACTATCCCGGGAGCCAGAGTGCTAACAGCTGAATTTCAGAGAGGTAAAAGTAAACCCACTGAGCAGAAGGGCATAAATTATATGTATCTGAAACGGCAACCTAGAGGTTCACTGCAACTCAGATGTCAATTTTAACTAAAAGGATTAGGCAAATGGGATCGCTAAAGAATAGTTCCCCTACCAACCCACACAACCAACCTCTCCATTACCAGTCCCCAAATTCAACTGAAGCACTGCTGGCGTTAAGTGTGTCTTACCTTGTACAAATCTCGACATTTTGCGGTATTTAATAGTCGTTTAAAAAAAACAATTATTTCAAGAAAAGTGACTGCTATAGGGCAGTCTCTTCCTCTACTGCTTGAACCACCGTGTTCCTTTTTTCCAGGGGTCCCCAAAAAAATACACCCAAGAAAAAAAACACTCCTCCCCCCTTCCAAAGGACGGAAACTTGATCGACTACAACTCCAAGCTACACCGCTGGCTAGCAGGCGAGTCCCGGAACAGATAAAACCACACGAACTTAAATTTCATCAATGAAAGAGGCGGATCTACGACGGTTATTTCACCGCCCCCCCATCCCCACGCCCTCCGAGGCAGGGCTGCAGTAGGCAAGGCCGCCCCCTCCCCGGCGCCGCCGTCCAGCCTCTGGCGACCGGCCGGTTCCCCAGGAAACCCGGGTCAACAGAAGCCCTCGCCCAAGCAGGGGTCGGGGAAGCAAGTGCGTGCGGCCAGGGGGCAGTGCAGTCACCTCCCAGTCATTTTTACCAGCCCACAAGTATCCCGAGACTAGGAAGAGCGAGGAAGACCGCGAGCAGGCGGGCGGGCCGGGCCTCAGGCTCCCCGCCTTCCCACAGCGAGCTGCGGGGCCCGGCCGCGGCTTTTTTCCCGGCAGGGGCCGAGTGCTATCTTGCCCCTCCCCCGCGGCATTCATTCGGGCCGCGGCGTTCCGGGAACCCACGCAGCCCCGACACTTCTCCACATACCTTGGTCCCTCCTGCCCGGCGCCCTTCCTGAACTCCAAAGTCGACCTTCCGGACCAGACAGCGGGTCGGCAAAAGGGAGTTCTGCACAACATATCAGAGATGGAAATACACCCACCCAGGGGGTCGCAGGAAGCCCGTCTCAACACCTCCCCTGACAGCATGCGAGACCCACCTTCTTCTTCCTCCTTTAACAGCTGAGAAATTGGGGGTGTTTATGTCGCCTCGGGGAGAAGGCTCGCAGGCTGAGAGAATTTGCTACCTCTGCAACACCTTTCTCTTTCCCTCTCTCCTCTTACACGTGCACACCTTGAGTCCCTCGCCAGCGGTCGCACCCCGCCTGCTGACCCCCTCAACCCACCTGGCTGGCGTTTCCCAACACCCAGAAAGCCCCCACTTTCTCCTAAACACTTCCCCTCCCCCTCCATTCAGTGCGGCGCCCCTCAATGCGGAAACGTCCGTGCCGCGCAAGACAGACGGCCACAGCCGCCAATCAGGAGCCGAGGTGAATGAGGGTCAGGCCAATGAGACGCGCTGAGGTGGCAGGGGGCGGGGCGTCTGGGACAAGCGTGAGCCCGGCGAGGTACAGCGCGGTGCTGCGACGCGTGGAAACTGGATGTGGTTCCGCGGTGACTGGGCAAGGGACGTCTCACGAGTGAAACTCCTCGTCTTTTACCAAAACTTCAGCAAGGGAGAATACCTGAAGCATGAGTGGTTCTTTTTGCAGTCCGAAAAAAGGTTCTTGTTTACCAGGGATTGACAAAACGGGATGGGAGAGCCGGAACCACAGCAGGCATTCTGAGAGAGGTCACGTTCTCCCAGTAGACAACTACAGTCTGGATGAGTTGAAGAGCAAAGGGCTCTTTCTTCATTCATGGACCTTCAAGTAGTTTCAAATCTGCTTAGATTTTTTTTCCCCATTGATATGCTGCTCGTGAATATCTCTTTGAGGTGCATGCCGGTGGCGGTTACGTGCATTGGTGTCAGTTCGACTCTTAGCGACCCTGTATAGGGTTTCCGACGCTGTAAATCTTTACAGGAGCAGAAAGCCTCATCTTTCTGCCACTGAACGGCTGGTAGTTTCGAATTGCTGACCTTGAGGTTAGCAGCTCCATTCATAACCACTACACTGTAGCGCTCCTTAAGGTGCATCAGAAATCTAAAATAGGTTTTAATCCTTCGCAGGAACTTGGGGAACAGCTAGAGGAAGATTGAAGATGAGGGGCTGGGAAGGACCTCGGAATTGGAATGAGATTGCCAACTAAAAAGTCGGCCAGCTAGGTTTTCACCTGTAGTGGTTACGAATCGGGCTGCGAACCTTAAAGTCAGCAGTTCGAAATTACCAGCCGCTCAGCTGCAGAAAGAGGAGGCTTTCTGCTCCGGTAAAGAATTACAGCCTCAGAAACGCTGTACAGGGTCGCTGTGAGTTGGTTCTGACTCCACGACATCTAACCACCACCACCTTGTTGGGGACAAAGCAGACATTCACTACTGAACGACCAGTTTAGTGCCCCTAAATCCTTTTGATTTATAGTATTGTACCTTGCTCTCGTTGAGAGCTATCAGTAAGATAAGACATCAATTTATTCTAAGAGGAAAGGCTTTAAATTGAAATTATTTCCACCTGGATTATGCAATTGGAGAAGAATAGCAAATGCTATGCCATGATGACTTTACATTATGCTTTCCATAAGTACTTGCCTCAGGCACTATCCAATAAGGTGGTTTAGAAGTTGCTAAAGGTGTACAGACGGCAATGTGTGTGGTCTTATATTTTTCTTGTCTACCCTACCCATCTCCTACACACAAGCAAATAAAGTAGTGCTGTGTTGGGGAACATGCCATACACATGAAAATCCGTATGTTATGCTGGAAGTATGTAGCTAAGATACCAAGCAGCAATTACACCCTAGACTGTTGCCACATTTGATATTGGCTTCATCTATACCCATCTAACTTGGAGGCCACCCACATGAAAGAGGAATAAGGGGGTACTGTTAACTCCATCAACAGTTGCCAGTTACTAATAATCTAACAACAGGGCATTTCACTTAAAACGCAAAGTAACCAAACAAGGTTAACTGGAAAAATACACTAAATAATATCTGTAATAAACTACTAATGAATGAGTAGTCTTAAAAATGATGAAATTTCTAAATACTTGAGGAAGAGGAAGACGTCATTCTTCCTGTTGCCAACACCCTGTTGTTAATGAATCAGGAAGTTTGCTGCAACAAATTGTGAATTTAAATTATGACATATCCTTCCCTTTGCACATAGAGTTTTTCAATTTTGTTTGAAGGTTGTTCAAAAAGTTTGTGGTGAAATGGAATTAAAAGATAGTGGAATTCTTTTCCAAATTTTTTATACAAGGTTCTTTGTATAATGTCTAGGAGCCCTGGTGGTATGGTGAGTTACGCATTGGGCTACTTATCACAACGTCGACAGTTCAACTCTACCAACTGCACTAACGGAGATAGAGAAGGTTGTTCCTGTAAAGATTTGTTGTTGTTGTTGTTAAGTGCCGTCGAGTCAGTTCCGACCCATAGCGACCCTGTACAGGGTTTCTGAGGCTGTAAATCTTTACGGCAGCAGAAAGCCTCATCTTTCTCCTGCAGAACAGCTGGTAGTTTCGAACTACTGACCTTGCAGTTCTCAGCCCGATTCGTAACCACTACGCTACCAGAGCTCCTTTGTAAAGATTTAGAGCCTCGGAAATCCCACACAGGGTCGCTATGAGTTGAAATTGACTTGATGGCAGTGGGTTTTGTATAATGTTTATATCACAGCTGTAGCAGTTACTTCAAATGACTGAGATGCTTTAAGAAATAGGGTTATTTCATGTTATAGATAGTTGTCTAAGAGTTGCTGAATCAATCTTTTAAAGTAATTTTAAAAGTCATCAGGCCACAAAAATGCAGTTTAACCACACCATTTATCAAAACTGATAAATGTTCACCTCTAACAATAAGCCCTTTATAGGTTCTCCTGTGAAGGTTGCATAGAAGGTGGATTCCTAATATGCTTCTCTGCTTCTGCATGTCACCTATAGGAGAGTACTGGTGAAACATGGTGATGTGAAATGGTTGTATCTGACTCATGTGTCAAATGAATCTCCAGACTCTCCTTGAGGGTAGAGGCAGAGGAGTGAGTAGGCCCCAAATTGAATAGCCTTCAAGAAGCACCCTAGATTTTCTAAGGGTGATTCTTAAAGGGCAGTTTAGTTTAGAAAAAAAAAATAACCTCCCTTATTGAACTAATGAGATAGAATAAATAATATTTTGCTCTACTGTAATGATGTATGTGTAGACAATGAGGTTACTTATTCATCTTGACTTTGAAATCCTCATAGAGAAGAGCTGTGAAATAGAAAAGCATTTAGTTTAATCCTGTTTTTTCTCCGTCTTTCAGTTATATTAAAGATTCCCTGTTGTGCATCCCATCAAACATCTTTTGATGGTTTTCCAAACATCTCTGCCTCTGTCCTAGCTTATTAAATTTCCTGCCAGAGCCACCACTGGGACGAAAAGGATAAAGAACTTTTGTTTCCTAACTTAGTCTTTGGGAATTTATTTTAAGTATTTAATACCCACCACTCCAACAAAATACAAAAGACAAGAGTCACAATTTTATGACTATTTGGATAAAGCCTATTGCCATGTAGTCAGTTCTGACTCGTAAGGAACCCACAGGACAGCATAGAACTGCCCAGAGGGCTACAAAGACTAAATCTTTATGGAAGCCAACTTCTTCCTCTGAGTTGCTGGTGGGTTCAAATTGCTGACCTTTCAGTTAGCAGCTGAGTGCTTTACCACTATGCCACCAGAGCTCCTAATTGGGTAGTTTATATGTCATTAAGTGGCTTATATAATTAGAAAATGTAAAAGTAGTAGGGTTTTTTTGTTTGTTTGTTTGTTTTGTTTGTTTGTTTTTTTGCTGTTTAGAATGAAATGGAGGAGAAATGTCATATTTTGAGAAAATGATGGGAAAAAAGTATGGAAAATTAATGTTACATATTGGTACCATTTTATATTGAATTTTGATTGCTTTATTGAAATAAAGCATGCACCATTTTTAAGATTCAAACAGTACCCAAATACCCATAAAAATATAGCAATATTTCCTGCCTTGCCTCTTTTTACTCTAACCCTATACCCTGGAGGCAACCACTTTTCTTCTGATGATACTTCCTTATTTCTAAACACTTACATTGCTATTTTGCTAATTCTGTGGGTTCTGGATTTTAGGCATTACTGTATGAGGGGTTTCAGAAAGTTCCTAGAAAAATGGCATTAAAAGATAATGCACTGCTTATATTTGTATGGGATCCTGGAGGAACTTGAGGGGTTTGTGGATATCTATATTGGTGATGTGCCGTACTGCAAAGCCGTTTGAACTGTAAGGTCATCAGTTCAAGCTCACCAGCTGCTCCTAGGAAACCCTATACAGGGTCACTATGGTTTAGAATCTGCTCGATGGCACTTAACAACAACAACAATATTGCTGATGCTGTAGGATAAACACTGGACAGTTAATCATAAGGTTGGCAGTTCAAACCTACCAGCTGCTCCTTGGAAGAAAGATGAGGCTTTCTGCCTCTATGAAGATTTATAGTCTCAGAAACCCTATACAGTGTTGCTGTGAGTCAGAAGCAACTCAATGCATGGGTTTGTCTTTTGGGGTTTTATGTTGGACTTGGTAAAAAAAAAAAAATTGCAATTTAAACATGTATTTTGTTGTTGTTAAGTGCTGTTGAGTCGGTTCCAAATCAGCAAACCTGTACAGGGTTTCCAAGGAGCAGTTGGTGAGTTTGAACCACCAACCTTGCAGTCCAGCGCATTATCCTGAAGTGCCACACCAGAACTCCGTTTAAATATAGACAAGTATGAAAATTTTTAAATTAAAAATAGCAAAAATAATAGATTTTTTAGAACTCTGAGATCAAATCTTTTCAGATGCTTAGGTGAGGAAATTTGAACTTGATTGCATGAACACAAACCTTTTTGAATCAGGTTTTATTCTTGAAATAATAGCTGCACACAATTTCTCATTAATACTTTCAAATGATTGTTTTTGTTATGTGCGGTCGAATCAGTTCCAACTCATATAGTGACCTTGTATAGGGCTTCCTAGGAGTGGCTGGTAAATTTGAACCACTGGCCTTGGAGTTAGCAGTCCAGTGCTTATCTTACAGTGCCTCACCAAGGTTGTTGTTGTTGAGTGCCGTCGAGTTGGTTCCAACCCATAGCAACCCTGTACAGGGTTCCCAAGGGTGTAAATCTTTACGGGAGCAGAAAGCCTCATCTTTCTCCCGCGGAGCGGCTGGTGGTTTCGAACCGCTGACCTTAAGGTTCACAGCCCGATTTGTAACCACTACGCTACCAGAGCCCCTTAATCTCTTTTAAATTCTTGATAGTCACTCTGGTTGCTGCTTGTGGACCATAAAGACAGGCAA